TCTCTTGGGATGAAAGATGGACATTGATGGTATAGGATAGCCTTGTCACAGTATGTTGCGCTGGCACATTTTTATAAGATAAAATTTTTGTGTTTTTCAGTAAAAATGTGCCCTTTAAGATTGTCCGTGCCTCCAATGGAGATGCATGGGTCGAAGCTCATGGAAAACTCTATTCTCCAAGTCAGATTGGAGCTTTTGTGTTGATGAAAATGAAAGAGACTGCAGGTAAGAAGGTTTGGTTCCTATCTCTCAAGTTTGAAGACTTGGATGGTTCCTAACTTACATACTCCCTTGGGTTTATAAGTCTCTTGGGTGGGTCTGGGGTGAATGTTATCCAGAAAACCTAGGATTGGCTGAACGTTGTTGCTCTCCACATTTTCCCACATTTTCCCTACATAGTGAATTTGTCTTTAAGGTTTTCCTAACAGAGGCTTGTTTATCTTTTGCAGTATAGAGGAGTGGTGTTTTATATTGAAAGCTGAAAGACTACATATTAACTTTTTGGCTCTGTTAGGTAAAACTTAACTTTGTATTTGGTGATACTCTTGGCTATTTTAAGTCTAACAATTGGCCATTATACCTAGGGAGCTTTTACGGTAATGTTAAAGGTGAGAGCTTGGGTTTTCAACCACTGTTTTAATTGGAGTGTTTTCCTGCAGGGTCTCTCTGTGTGTTAGGTCACATTTGAAAAAAATGATGAGTGCTGCCTGTGGCTCCAAGACGATGACCCAGATTGTTAGGCTACATTAGTAATTCTTTTACCTATTTCATTAGACAGAATGTCATGAATGTATTTCATTCTTTGATTCATTTCTAGAAAATTACTTGGGACATACAGCAAAAAATGCTGTGATCACAGTTCCAGCTTATTTCAATGACTCCCAGAGACAGGTGAGTTCATTTGGAATTCTGAAAACATCAAGATTGTATTAGTGGTATTTAGGACACAGGGTGGAAAGTCCTTTTTTCTTTTTCTTTAGGCCACTAAAGATGCTGGCCAAATATCTGGACTAAATGTGCTTCGGGTAATTAATGAACCTACAGCTGCTGCTCTGGCCTATGGTCTAGACAAATCAGAAGATAAAATGTAAGTTTACACAGTAAACTCCACCTAGATTTGTGGGACTATGTTCATGGTTCCATGAAAGTATTGGGCTTTGGTCATTTTTTTCCCCCTTTGGTATGCATGTTGGCAAGTATTCAAAAAATTTTTTTAATGTTTACTTATTTTTGAGAGAGAGACAGCGCGAGCAGGGAAGGGGCAGAGAGAGAGGAAGACAGAATTGGAAGCAGGCGCCAGGCTCTGAGCTGTCAGAGCCCGACGCAGGGCTCAAACTTAGGAACGGTGAGATCATGACCTGAATTGAAGTTGGACGCTCCACTGACTGAGCCACCCAGGCATCCTGGCAAATATTTAATCAAAAGCATAGTTTTGGAGAGGTCAGGCTAGATGGGTTGGTAGAACATGCAACTTTTGATCTTGGGGTTGGGAGTTTAAGCCCCATACTGGACATGGAGCCTACTTCAAAGAAAAAGTGATTGAGGATTGTCAGCTTTGCTTTTTTTTTTTTTGAATTAATGTTTATTTTTGAGAGAGACAGCATGAGCAGGGAAGGAACAGAGAAAGAGGGAGACGCAGAGTCTGAAACAGGCTCTGAGTTGTCAGCACAGAGCCCAACATGGGGCTTGAACTTACAGACTCTGAGATATGACCTGAGCCAGAGACACTTAACCAACTGAGCCACTCAGGCACCCCAGTTTTGCTTTTAAAAATATATTTCACCTGTATATTTCACAAATAGCTATTAGAACCTCATGCTCATGTACACATCACTTAGGCAGTTACCAATTTTATAATTTACCACTTGCGAAATGACCAGGTTTATGTTTTTTGGGTTGTGAAAATTTAGACCCTAGTAATAGATGTTGACTCCTTAAGGCTGCCTTTTTTTCTTTATAGAATTGCTGTATATGATTTAGGTGGTGGAACTTTTGATATTTCTATCCTGGAAATTCAGAAAGGAGTGTTTGAGGTGAAGTCTACCAATGGAGACACATTCTTGGGTGGTGAGGACTTTGACCAGGCCTTGTTACGACACATTGTGAAGGAGTTCAAGAGAGAGGTCGGTTACCAGTATAGTTCATATGTAGACGTTGGGATGTTGAGAATTTATTTGGATGATTGTTTTCTTTGCTTATGATTTTTTGCCCTTAATAGAACATGGAAAAGAGCACTGAAAGAAGTGAATTTCAGTTTCACGGGTGGTCTGAACTATTCTGGTTGTTGTAGCTTCAGCTTAGGAATCCACAACATATCCTCATTAAAGTGGCTATGGTACACTGTATGATATTGAAAAAGGAATTATGGGCACTCCTGTTTTCAGCCAGAACACAGTGGCTGGAAGAACTAAGATTGGATCAGCCCTCTGACTCCAGGCACAGATGGTCTGTGAAGAATAAGATTTCTTTTTCCTACAGATTTCCTAAGGGTAGTGAGTGATTCATGTTTGTTCATAAAGATATGGCTTTAAGTTACACTTTATCACTGTAATTTAAATAGTATTCATTACCTCTTTAACATTAGTATTACATGTTTTCATTTTGTAGACAGGGGTTGATTTGACCAAAGACAACATGGCACTTCAGAGGGTTCGAGAAGCTGCTGAGAAGGCTAAGTGTGAACTCTCCTCATCTGTGCAGGTGGGATATGGATGAGTCCCAACAGTCTTGATGTTTTCAGCCTTAGTTTATTTCAGTGGCATATTCTAATTGGTGTAATTTCTATCTAATCTTTTATAGTTTTCTGGTTGGCGGTAAAAGCCTGTCTGTGAACAAAGGAGCAGTGTATATTTCTTTTGTTTTTGAAGTTTATTTTTAGAGAGTACATGAGCACAGGAGGGGGAGAGAGAATCCCATGCAGGCTCCATACTCAGTGCAGAGCTTGACTTGGGATCAGTCTTAAAATTGTGAGATGCAGGGCTCAAACCCACGAGCCATGAGATAAGATTAAGTGGAAGTTGGACATTCAACCTACTGAGCCACCCATGTGCCCCTAAAGATGCTGATTTAAATTTTTTTTTAATGTTGATTCATTTTTGAGAGACAGAGACATACAACATGAGCAGGGGAGGAGCAGAGAGAGGGAGACACAGAATCCAAAGCAGGCTCCAAGCTGTCAGCACAGAGCCCTTTGTGGGGCTCGAACTACCAAACTGAGATCTTGACCTGAGGTGAAATCAGTTGCTTAACCAACTTAACCACCCAGGCACCCCAAGATACTGGTTTTAAAATATAGAATTAGTAGTGTGCAAAATTAAAATCACTAGCCTAGAAATAAAAGGATTCTCTCAGAACTGCTAATGTCCTCACTTAAGACACATCTTTGTGTGAGTTTCTAATTGATTTAATTATTTGGATCTGCAATCCAGAAAGTGAGCTATGAAACCTGGCTGAAGGTTGGGGTATATAAACTTGAGGCACATTTCCCTCTGATAGCATTAGAGTGTCAGTTCTTGCTCCAGTGTTGTTCTGGTTCTGAGTAGTGAAGTTTCACTTTGCCTTAAGCACTAATAGAACTGTATAAAGCATGTTAGTTCTTAGTCAGAGATGCAACAAGATAGAAGGCAGATTTGTTTCTGGGTCCTCAAGTGGTAGCAGGAACGTGGAGCTTGTGACTCCTTGAGTTGTTGATTTACTCACCCAACACTGGGTGATGCAGTGTGGGAAAAACTTAGGATTTTTTTTTTCTTCTTCTTGAACCTGGATGTTTTGGTTTTTGGTTAAAAAATTTTTTTTCTTTATTTTGAGAGTGAGAGCAGGGGAGGGGCAGAGGAAGAAGGGGAGAGAATCCCAAGTAGGCTCCTGTCAGAGCAGAACCTGATAAAAGGCTCAAACTCAAGAACTGTGAGATCATGACCTGAGCCGAAATCAACATTTGGATACAACTGGCTGAGCCACTCAGTCACCTTAATCAACCGAGCCATCCAGGAGCCCCACTATTCCATTCTTCATTGTTGATAACAGATTCTAAAGTTTTTCCTCTGGGAAAATCATGGGTTGAATCTTCTTAATTTTGTGAGTGGGGTGCGCAAATGAGCAGGGGCAGAGAGAGAAAATCTCCAGCACGGACCCTGGAGCAAGGCTAAAACTCATGAACTCTGAGATCATGACATGAGCTAAAGTTGGATGCTTAATCCACTGCCCCATCCAGGCACCCCACCGTGATAATAGGTTGAATCTTGAAGAGTCATTGTTACTGGTGGCTGTTAATTTAAAGTGGGTGTACTCTCCCTGTAGCTTTGAAAGTCTTCCTCATAAGGATATGGTCTTATTTAGTTGTAGGAATAACCAAACCTCTACTCTTGCTCTCCCTATTTTCTTTGCAGACCGACATCAATTTGCCATATCTTACGATGGATGCTTCTGGACCCAAACATTTGAATATGAAGCTGACACGGGCTCAGTTTGAAGGGATTGTTACTGATCTGATCAGGAGGACAATCGCCCCATGCCAAAAAGCCATGCAGGATGCAGAAGTCAGCAAGAGTGACATAGGAGAAGTGATTCTTGTTGGTGGCATGACTAGGATGCCCAAGGTATGGACCCATGGAATCCGTCACATGAATAGCAGAGAGGGCAAGCACGTAATGTTTCCTCTGGACAGGTGATTTGTGTAGGAACATTAGTACATGGCCTTTCTGCCACAGTGACCTGAAAGGATCTTTGAAGGAAATTTGTGCCCTCACTTAGAGTTCTTTTGTGGCCTCTTTTATAAAAGGTTTCAGAAAAAGGATGGTAAGGGCAAAATATCTTTGTGTGGTAGCATGGAGGATCCCAAACTTCATTCTTAGAATATTTTTATAAACAAAACATTTCTCAGAGTTTGAGATCAGAGATAACATAAAACCTTGGTACTGTCTAGTCTCTAGAATCAATTCTGGATACGTGTCTTTGCAGCGTAGTGTTTGGGGTTTCTAACTGCATCCCTTCAGCAGAGATTTGTGCAATGATGCATTTGATTAATCAACACATCATTCTGATAAGATGAGTGTGTAGACAACTAATGACTGAGCACAGAACCTGTTGAAGGTGCAGTTCTTGCTGTATAGCTTGAATGGAATAGTAAAATTTCCTTTGGAATTCATGGGCTTAGGAACACATGCATAGAATAAACAATGGAGAAAAAAAGAGAGGCTATGGACCAGGAAAATATCTTTATGTTAATAAATTACCCCAGATGCTATTTAAGTAGCACTTTTTCCTAACATCAGTAAAATAAGCTGGAGAGAACACGTCTCGCATGAGCACCAATGTTGAATTATTGAATTACCACTGCTGCTTTTAAGGTGTTTTTTAGTTGATGTTTAGAAGGGGAATTGAATTATATCTAAGTCTTGATGTCTTGCACCCTGGGTTTCTAATTTAATATGTTGTATAGGAAACCCGATAATAAAGCTTACCCAGATACTTCTCAAATTTAAAACAACTGTGAATGGGGCGCCTGGGTGGCTCAGTCATTGATGCGTCTGACTCTTAATTTCAGTTCGGGTTATGATCCCAGGGTCGTGGGATTGAGCCTTGCATCAGACTCCACACAGCATGGAGCCTGCTTGACATTTTCTCTGTTCCTCAACCCTGCTCAAGCTGTCTCTCTAAAAATAAGTTAAAATTTTTAAGAAGGACAGTGGAAAGCAAATGATTTGAGTGTTACCCCTATTTGACACACCTAGGTCCTTAACTCAAATACGAAATAGTAACAAATGAACATTCTTGGATTTGAAGCAGCTTATCCTGAGATTTGTGGTTTTGGGACATATGTACTCTCTTCGCTTCTTTGGGTAGTTCCCCTGGGTAGTGGGTGACAGGTTCTTTTTTCTTAATGGCTTAGGTTCAGCAGACTGTACAAGATCTCTTTGGCCGAGCCCCAAGCAAAGCAGTCAATCCTGATGAAGCTGTGGCCATTGGAGCTGCCATTCAGGGAGGTGTGTTAGCTGGCGATGTCACAGATGTGCTGCTCCTGGATGTCACTCCCCTGTCTCTGGGTATTGAGACTCTGGGAGGGGTTTTTACCAAACTTATCAACAGAAACACTACTATTCCAACCAAGAAAAGCCAGGTAAGAGTCACCTATTCCTCCCTTGTCACAGGGATATAGGTTCTGTGAGGGATGTGATTACACCCACTTTTGTGAGCTTTTTCTAGACAACTTTGCTTTTTGTTTTTCAGTCCATACTAGGTGAATGTGGGTGCTAAGAATCTTGCTTTTTGTTACCTTTTTTTGTTGTTTGTTCCTGAAAATGTTCTCTTTACTTGTCAGCTGGCAGTAATGATTTTAGGGAAATTTAGTGGTCTCCTTTACAGGATTAAAGTAACTCTCCAAAAGGAGCCTCATCATTTGGGTCTGAATTCCTTGTTGTCTTCTGTTCTCAAAGACTGTAAAAAAGAATGCCCTGCCAAGATTAGGGGAGGATGCTTGTCTTACTAGTGACTGATGGAGATCCTGAGATATCAAGCCAGGAATATTTGGACAATGGCTTGCTCAGACTTGGATTCAGAATTATTTCCTGGCTTTCTCAATTTTGTTGTTTTTCTGAAAAGCTGCTATAACTAATGGCTGTTGCTATTTGTTCAGTGATGTATTGTCATTACATCATTCTGAATAAAACTATGTGGTGGCATCCTGTGACTGAGTATAAGACACAGATCATGTCTCCATACCAGTTTCCTCAGATAAGCATGTTTCAGTATCTCATTATTTTAGCTCCTTTTGAGGCCGCCTTTGCAAAAGCTGCATCTTTGCATAGTGCATTTGCTTAGCTGAAACAATAGCTGTTGTATACCCTTGGGCTGTACTAATCCTATTCCCCTGCAAAAACAAAAGCCTTTGTTCTGAACATGGATTCTTAAGAGTTGAGATGTGAATTTCTTTCTGTGGCTTGCACTTTTATAAGGGGAGTAGGTAGCCCAACCAAGAGGGTTTTTTTTCCTCTCCTAGGTGTTTTCTACAGCTGCTGATGGTCAGACTCAAGTGGAGATTAAAGTGTGTCAGGGTGAGAGAGAGATGGCTGGAGACAACAAACTTCTTGGACAGTTCACTTTGGTAAGTATCAAGTATCCTGACTACTGTGCTTCTTTTTTTTTTTTTTATAAAGTTAGACTAAATTATAATTCTTAATAACATTGCTGAAACTAAAACACAGGAACCTCGTCTGTGTTACCTTAGTGTACAGATGAAATTTGCAGCTGGATACAAATGGCTTGAGTTTTTCCTGAAGGTCTCACTTGTTTCTGATGCCTTAGGAATATAAGAGCCAGGGAAATACAATGTTAGTTAGGAAAAATTCCCAACTGTTAATTGAAGACATTTGATATTGGCTCCTAGTCAGCATTGTTTATTGGTTCTTGGTGAAGTGAAAAATCAGAGTTTTCCTCTCATTCAGTGTGTTCCTTAGGTATACACAGTCATTATGGTTACTTGCTGTAGCCAGCCTTAACTGGCATAAGCCCTGTTTGCTTCAGGTAGCAATGAAACTACTATCCTTATTTATAAATTTGTGTTTAAGTATTGTTTGTTGCTCCCAGGAACAAGTTCCTTTACCCATATGACTATATATATAGGTTAGGAAATAGAGCACCAGACCTCTTATAAGAGGAGCTTAAAGTAGCGTATTTATCTATTTTAGATTGGAATTCCCCCAGCCCCTCGTGGAGTCCCTCAGATTGAAGTTACATTTGACATTGATGCCAACGGGATTGTACATGTTTCAGCGAAAGATAAGGGCACAGGACGTGAGCAGCAGAGTAAGTGCTCTTATTTATCAGACGCATAAGAGGCAGGGGACCTTGAAGTTCCTTTGTTTGAAAACTAGACCTTCTAGTTTGTGCATGTGTTTTCCAGCCTCAGGAGAGGACGAGTCCTCTTTGCCCCTTTTCTTCTTGGTCATCAGATCACATTAACAGATGTGTTTATTACCACAAATGGGCAAACACTGGGCTTCTGGATTGCTGACATTTTGGTAGGCAGGCGGAACAAATGGTCTTTGTGGATTTCAGATCGACTACTCTGAATGGGATTTTTTTTTTTTTAAATTTTGGTGGAGTTTAGATTTAAGAGAGCGAGCACAGGCTCCACACTGCACAGAGCCCAACCTGGGGCTTGAAGTCATGAATGTTACATCATGACCTGAGCAGAAATCAAGAGATGGATGCTTAACCAATTGAATCACCAGGTGCCCCAGGAGTATTCTTTTTCTTAATACAGTAGAGAAAGAGGCCGATCATTTTACCTGGGAAATAACAAGATGCCTTTTTTTCACTGTAGTTGTGATCCAGTCTTCTGGTGGGTTAAGCAAAGATGATATTGAAAATATGGTTAAAAATGCAGAGAAGTATGCTGAGGAAGACCGACGAAAGAAGGTAATTATTTTCTGCCTCTGCAACTTGGAGTTGAAAGTGGGAGTTTTGACATGTATCATTGATTTTTCTAGTCTTTGAATCTGTTCCTTCTCCCTTTCTTTTCCTAACTTTTATGTGGAGTGCTTTTCTTAATCTAATTTCCACATCAAAAATCTCATGTTACACAACCCAACTAAAATCACTTACAGACATCCTAGACTACTTCAGACCACAGTAGTTTCTGTTTTTATCCTATAGTTATGTATCGCTTTGCATGTTATCTAACTTAGTGTGGACATTCAGCCAACTGGTTGCTTGGGAAGTCTTCATACTAAATTTCTAATTTTTCTTAGGAACGAGTTGAAGCAGTTAATATGGCTGAAGGAATCATTCATGACACAGAAACAAAAATGGAAGAATTCAAGGACCAGTTGCCTGCTGATGAAGTGAGTCCTTTCATAAAATAGTTCGAGAAGTTAGTGTCATCATTGTCAATGAAGTTTGTTTTTCTGTGTGGATCTTGATAGAGATCTAGTGGTATTTTTTGTTTCTTGGGCTTTTTATTTCCATTTTCCACACAGATTTTTCATTTGGGGCCATTTTATAAATGAAATTGAGATCTTTTTCTTTTTTTTTTTTTTAATGTTTTTATTTCTAGGAGAGAGATAGAGACAGCGTGAGCAGGGGAGGGTCAGAGAGAGAGGGAGTCACAGACTGAAACAGGCTCCAGGCTCTGAGCTGGCAGTCAGCACAGAGCGCGACACGGGGCTCGAACCCACGAACCGCGAGATCATGACCCAAGCGAAAGTCGGACGCTTAACCGACTAAGCCACCCAGGCGCCCCGAGATCTACTTCTAAAGAGTTCTGTCAATGATAGAAATTTGTTTTTTAATGTTTCTGAATATTATTCTACATAACATGGGATAAGAAACTCATAGAAAGAGTTTGGTTTTGTTTTTAAGTGCAACAAGCTAAAAGAAGAGATTTCCAAAATGAGGGAACTTCTGGCTCGGAAAGACAGTGAAACAGGAGAAAACATAAGGCAAGCAGCATCTTCCCTTCAGCAAGCATCACTGAAGCTCTTTGAAATGGCATACAAAAAGGTACAAGGACGTTTTGCTCAATGAATTTGCACCTAGCTTAATCTTAATAGAACTGCTGTTGATTACTGTCACTGGTGGGGCACTCTATGTGGCCATTTATAGAACTGGGAGTATTGGAGTTCGAAATACTTTTCCAGCTTTCTTGACTCTGCTTTGGGGGGAGGGTGATGGCAGTCAAAAAGAGGGACTCACAGAAACGACCAATAGTGTACAGGAGGGAGGGTGAGTGGAACAGGCAGGATATTTTAAGTTTATCAAAGAGAAAACTGTCCACTTTTAATTGACTCTCAAATATTTTCTTAACAGATGGCATCTGAGCGAGAAGGCTCTGGAAGTTCTGGCACTGGGGAACAAAAGGAAGATCAAAAGGAGGAGAAACAGTAATACCAATAAACTTTGGAGTCAAAATATGACGCTTGGGAGTGAAGAAACTTCCTGAGCAGAAATGGGCAAATTTCAATTGTCTTTTACTGTGTTTTTGCAGTATTCTATATATAATTTCCTTAATATGTAAATTCAGCAACCGTTCGTTAATGATCATTTAATGAGAATTCCAACCTTACAAAGTTCACAGTACTCTGCTCCTAGTTATTTTTCAGCTGCATGTAAAGGGAGGGGAAGATGATTTACTGATCATTATAAAAACAGTGTTGTTTTGTGCTTTAGTAGCCATATTTTCAAGAGGTGAAACCATCTCAATAAAGAAGGTACTTAGCCATAAATCTGGAATGCCCCCTCAGACCATATGGGGATGAGTTCCTTCCAGTCAACAAACTGCTAACCCAGCCTGTGTGTACATGGGATTCTTCAAGTGAGGCCCTGCAAGGCAAACCAGCTGGGCCATGTTGGGAGTTAGGGCAGGAGAAGCTAGATAATGGGAAAATAGCTGTTAGGTACAGCTTTTAAAAAGATAGTAATAGGGCTCCATAACTTTACTAAGGCATACTTTTCTAGCTACCTTCTGGCCTGTGTCTGGCACCTGTATCCTTGTTGATTACTTTTTTTGATCCAGTCTTGGTTAAAAAAAGAAAAGAATCTTGATCTCTTGTATGTGAGGAGTGAGGCTGAGATTTAGCTTCAGGAATAGGACATGAATTGTTACTTCCTAATTCCCTGAACGAAATCCACTCAATAATCTTTTTCTCTAGCATGGAAACTAGGGTTACTATTTTCAGGTTGCAAGAGGCATGTCCAGTAGTGAGCCCTAGGGTTTCAGTGTTTTGGTAACATCAGGAACTAATAAGTGTTCAGATTTATTTCCCATCCAGTAGTCTTCCAATGGACTCCCCCCTCCTTTCATGGATTACTGCCCCCGTACCATGCCCAAAGGAATAATGTCAATCAAGAACATGGGCTTAGATCTCATCAGATGTTATACCTTTTATTTTGTGATTATCTAGAAATGAAATTCATGAATACTTAAATCCATATGCTGTTCTAATGTAAAAGAGATTGTTTATACAATCACTACATTCCTGGAAAATTAAGTGCTCCTAATACCCATGTAAACACTTCTGGGGATTCATTTGAAAAATAAATTCTAGGTTCAAGTTTTCAGCTACATGAATACTTGGGAACCTTGTGGGATTACATTAATTCTTTGTGAAGGATTGTTTTGTGGCATATTGAAAGATACTTAGCACCTTTCTCAGCCCTTGCCCATTGTGATACTAAGCTGCTGAAGGACTTCTAAAGCACCCCTTAAGAACTAGTGGCTTTTTATTAAAGATTTACCCTTATTAGCATCACATAAAGAAGCTGCTTGAAAAGCTACTGCTTCAGCTACACCTTGTGTATCAGTAAAACTGATAGGATGCAAATAACCTTTAAAGACAAAAAGTTCATTTTGCAGATAAGTCTCCCTTTTATGGTGACAACTGTTTGATGGGTTCCAAAAGACACTTCTGGTTTCCCTTACTAAGGGGCCTTACCAGTTAGCCTAAATGTGCCTCTTACAGTTGGCTAAACTTAAAATGTCAACCATGTTTAATAACCCTAAAGTACATCCAGAACCACCTTCTCCACTTCTACGACTTAATTTACTAGTTGGATTCTTCCCAGCTTAAAATCACATCTTTGCCACTTTGGTAATTTTCTAGAGTAGTCAGCAATCAAAAATCACATGTGGCATTTACTAGGTGTAATATTTTCTTTTAGCTAATAGTTCCTTTGCCTTACCTTTCTAGGAACACTGAC